CATTACAGGAGGGGGACTGGGTGGCGATAAGAGGGACCACTGATCAGGTGGGGAAAGTTCATAAAACCCGAATACACAACGCCCTAGTGGAAAGGTACGCAATCGGCAGATCAGGAGTGTTGCAAGGGAGCCGGGCCACCTTAATCTGGCAGGATAAGGCGGATATCTTCCGAATCCGAATCCTTGGGGAAGGGGAGAAAGCCTGCGCATTTCAGCCTGACACCGAGATTCAGAACCTCCCCCTTGACCCTATAGAATGACAATGGAAACCCACAGGACGCAGAGCCAACCCTACTGCTATGATTGATCTTCAGAAGCTGACGATGAAATCTACATAAAAAATGCTCAGACCCAAATGCCATCTTAAAGATAAAATAATTGAGAGATGAAGAAAACATCTTAACGTAGACCGTTCCCTTTTGACGCTGATACCTTGGTTCCAAGCGCGAAAAGAGAAACCTGCAAAGATCACCTCTCTACAGTGGCAGATCACACACCGGTGTCTGCCAACAATGGATTGGTTGATCGACCACACAAACCTGGAACAGAAAGGCCAAACTCTCCCTTGGTGTACACGGTGCCTACGAGCCTTTCCTTCACGAAGAAGTGGAGAAACCATTGAACACGTCTTTATGCAATGCTGGACTGCACAACTCACATGGCGATGGTGAGACAAAATCTGGAGAAAGATGGTCCCTGACACTCCATGGCCCTGGACCTGGAGGGCGATACTGTTAGGATATTGGCCCCAGGCCGAAGAGGCATCCACGTACACAGAGAATATGTTCAATCTGGGCCGTAGAGCGATGCTTTGGGGGCTTTGGTGGCAACGTTGCCTCCTGGGCAGAGAAAGTGTACAGGTAGAGGTCCCTGAGGTCACAAAGCAGATCCAACAACAATTCCAGCTGGAACTAATGAGAAGGTGGCAAATCTTAAAGCGCCAGCTGGACTGCTTTCAGACTAATAAAGATATAAGGAAGGCAATCTCTTCCTTCCGGGGGGACTGGCTAGGGGGGGAAGGAGGCGGATGGGTGGCGAAGATTGAGAGTGGGGCGGTAATAGGGAAGATCAACAACACCTGGAGTTGGTTGAATGCAGAGACTACCGTCTGAGCTTCAACGAATGGACGACCATTAAACCTTCCTTCCCCCTCCGCCCCCCATCAGAATTCCCAGATCCTTTCCCTCCACACCCGTTCTCTCTGATTGAAGCAATTGACTGAAGAGTGGATAGACATGCTGCATGGATGGGCAGCAGACACCCAGACACTGGGTGTGACGGGGTTGATGGTCAAAGGAAAAGGGAGACGAAAGGAGGCTCCACTGGTGCCCCCAGTGGCTCCTTCCGGATCTTTTAGGCAGGTAATAGGACGCCGGACCCGATCTCTGGCTAGCAAGGACTCAACATAATGTAAGGGGAGAAACTAGTGTGTAGCTGTATATTTGGCGCCGGATCCAGGGTGAAGAGGTCCCCCCCCCTTTTTTTCTCTTCTCTCTTTTCTCTCCTTCCAATACCCTGCTCAGTCAATCCCCTGGATCCCAGGGCAACCAATGCTGGCAGGAATAACCCCACAATTGAGTGACAGATGTATCTCAGATGTAACCTCATTTTCAGTCTGTATAAGGGACGCTGACCCGTTTTCCAGCAGGTGATGCTCCCCACCAATAGATGGAGCCTTTCCCCAGGTGCTAGTGGTGTCTGCTCTTATCAGCACCACTAACACCGATGGGGTTGTGTTTTCAAAAAAAAAAAAAAAAAAAAAAAAAAACTACGGTGCAGTCAGGGTTACAGTTTGTAATTGCATCGAAACACTGATTTCGCACTTTAGTCAGGGGCCGAGTTTCAATTGCAGTTGAAACTCGGGCTGGCCTTTTCTATCCGTTCAGTCAGGCACATGACCGTTTTTAGTTTGTTTGTTTGTTTGTTTGTTTGTTTGTTTGTTTTTCCGGTCGCGCCCCGCACTGCGCCGCGCCGCTGCTGGGAAAAAAAAAAAAAAAAAAAAAAAAAAAAA